GAAGTTGAATTTCAGATGTTAAAATTACCAGCATACTAGTACAGACTTATTGAAAAAGCTTGGAAAAAAAGTATAGTAATGGGGCTTAAATATGGAAAAGGAAATGAAATTTAGGTATCAGAAGGTAGTAACCCATAAGAAGAAATCCTGTGTCTATGAAGACTCATTTATGCCTGAATAGAGTTAAACTATACTTTTCTTCAATGCAATAGAATATTTTCATAATATTCTTTTGGTTGATGAGTACTTAAATAAACAAATCATGTAACAACACACAAAATCCAGACAAATCATGTAATACTATACACACAATCCGGACGCAACAGGTAACCTATTAACCAAATACAATAACCTATTAAATAAAACAAATATATATAGAAAGAGTATACATATATGTGATATATATTACATATCTAGTACAGATGAAAAATAATAGTTAATATTATCTAAATACTACATGCTTATCAGTGTTCTAAATCTGTTCCCTATCATGAGGAGATTCTATTATTATTCTTTTCAACATGTGAGTAAATACAGGCTCCAGGAGGCTAATTAAAGTGTTCAGATTCACATAGCTAGTAATAGGTGGACCTGAAATTTGAACCCAATGAATCTGTTTCTAGAACTCATTTCCTTAGGACTCTACATCATGCTGCTTAGAGAAAAAGATAGTCTATAAATCTAGAGACCCTTGTTCCAACTGTATCATAATAGACTATGACAACACACCTAATCTAATACAGTCTCAGTTTATCAGTAAAATGAGGGTATTAGGCTACATCATGCTTAAGACCTGTTACAGCATTAAAATTGTCAATTAGGTTATACTGTGTCCTAAAATCTGAAAGAGATAAAATTATTTTCATAAGGTAGCTATGAAGATAAGATTTATGTTCAGAGAATTATTAGTGAGCACAAGATTTCTTCAATGCTTTCTTCCATCTAGGTAAAATTATTATTCCCTCTTTTGTGCCTCCATACTAAAGCAGTTTTATCATAATACTTTTTTTCATTTGTTTTGCATCTACCTCTATTGTATTCACTGAAAGGTTTTTAAAGACAAAAATCATATCTATTTATCTCTGTGTTCTAGCTCTAAGTATCTGGTACATAATATGGCTTCAACAAATTATTGTTTCAAAATATGTTCTCAATCTACTTAAGAATGGTTCAGGGGCTGCGGTGCCTGGGTAGCTTAGTCAATGGAGCATCTGACTCTTGATTTTGGCTCAGGTCATGATCCCAGGGTTGTGGAATTGAGCCCTGTGTAGGGCCGTGTGCTGAGTGTGGAACCTACTTAGGCTTCCTTTTCCCTCGCTTTCACTCAAAAATAAATAAATAAATAAATAAATAAATAAATAAATAAATAAAAGGCTCTTGAGCTTATTAGTGTTGTTACACCAGCTTACTTATTGAGATAGGTTCTCTGATCTATATGAGGCCTGAAAATCTACGTCATTAGTACTTTGAGGGTTACTATGTTCACAATATGTATGCTGTTCAATTACACATGAAATTAAAAAAAAAAAAAAAGTAATTCTGTAGGACAGAAAGGGCTAAAGTTTTCCCAAAGTTTGTTTCCTCTGAACTATCCTGGGAAAATAAATGTTATCACCCAAGACTATGTTATAAAGGGACGTTGTAGTTCCCCTTGGGAGAATCACTATGTCAGATTAAAGCATATTAAAGCCTCTCACAATAAAAAAAGATGATGCTTACTTTGTTAAACAAAGCGTTTCACAGTCTTGTAACCTATCTTGAAAAATGTGAACTAACATTGATCAGGGAAGAATTTGTGGATAATGGAAGGGCAAAGTGAATTATGTCTGAATGAGAAGATCTGTATAATTGAAGAGGAAGGAGGAGGGCCATTGATCTCATGGGAACACAGAAGTGAAAATGTGGGACAGTAAATACTCCAACCAGAGCTGAATGGACACATTTTCTAAATATATATTTTTTAATTTTCATTGATTTTGAGAGAGAGTGCAAGCAGGGGAGGGGCAGAGAGAGAGAAAGAGAGAATCTCAAGCAGGCTCCACACTGTCAGCATAGAGCCCAGTGCACGACCTGAACTCATGAATCGTGAGATCATGACCTGAGCCAAACTCTAGAGTCACATGCTTAACCATGTGAGCCACCCGGATTCCCCAGAACACACACACTTTTTTTAATGGTGGGGAGTAATCGGGAGAAGTATGTTTGTGCCTAATAAAGGAGAGTTTGAATGGCAGGGACAGGATTTTAGGATGAAAACTGTTAGAGAGCTTTGTGGGAAGGATGTAGCAGATGTTATATACTCCCTGAAATTTGCTCTTCCTGTTCTTGGTATCTTGGTTCAAGGTGGTTAAGACTAGCCAAAAAAAAAAAAAAAAATTGAGATTACAAATAAAATTTTTAAATTGCTATTATATGGAGGTCTGACCATTTGGAATTCACAATTTACTTAATGATTTCAAAATCATTGTTATTCATATCCAGTAGTTTGCAACAATTCGTTGATAGCATTTGATGGAGTAAATGTCTTTGGTTTGTTTGTTTTCTGCTGTTTTTGTTTTCTACTTTGGGGATGCTTTTAATTACAATAAAAGCACGTGTAGATAGCTAAATAGAAATATGAACACAATTTAGCCAAATTTGGCTTTTTAATGTTCTTTTTAATGTTACAGAAGTTATTGAAATACTGCTTTAAGTTTTTATTTGCTTATATTCAGTTCTCAAAAATATTGTGGTTGTATAGAAGCCCAAATATATTTGGTCATATCTAACATGGTTGAGAGAAGCTGGCATATGATATCATCTATTAGGAAAAAAAATTGCTGTGTTAGTGTTCCCAAGATTCAGAGTCAGTAAGGCAAGGAGGATTGTTCTGATCTCAATGAGATAAACTGTCTTTACAGTTTTACTTCTTTCTGATTCAGTTTCTTCTCTTTTATATTTACTGCCATTATCTCCAGCAAGACAGCAAGGTACACCTCCATAAATTTACTAGAAATAAGCATATTGTGTGTTTTTCTAGACACATTATGTTTGCTAACATATGTTTGCTTTCGAAATAAAAATACAATAATTCAATATTTAAACAACTTAAAATAGTTCAAGATTTGGGCAGTACACTTAATCTATTTCTGAAAGGCTTTATATCTATTATTATTTGAGGATTTGAGATTCTCAAATTTGTGCAGAACTACATAGACATACATAAGCTTTGGATAGTAATTCCAGTATTGTCTCATGCAAACTTGATTGTTGTATTTCTAGACTCAAATTTGCTTTTTAAATTCTCACTCTCAAAGACCTCTGAGTCTCTGCTCGTAAATCTACCGTTTGTTTAGTCCTTACCAGATAGACACATATTTTTCATTTTAACTACAATGCTTAATTAAGACTCTTAATGATATTTTGGCTAGTAAAGAACTTTTAAGATATCTTTATAATCCACTATCCCATGCTTTTATGCAGAACCCTCAAAAATGATTGTCAGCACAAAAATGCACATATTTCTTACAATGATTATTTATGTTAGCCCAGTATCTGATAAATGGTTTTCCCTCAAAACTGTTATTTATTTATAGTGTGTGGTTAAAATGTCTAAACATAATTACCACTGTCAGAATGTATGAGAAAAAACTTTTCTTTAAGAAAAAATTGATTTTAAACTAAATATTCCAGTTATAAGCCATATGAAATAATTTTCATACCACGTTTATTTAGTTATACATATTTTTGAAATTTGAAGGATTAATTGCCAATGGTTCTATACTTACTAGAAAGAAAATAATAGATCTGGGGAAACTAATTGGGTAGTAAGTTTCAGTTTTAGTGTTGGAATATGCAAAGGACATAAGAAATCCTCTAACTCAAGTCTTGAATTACACAGAGAAGGAAACATATTCAAAAAATCAAGTGAATTGGGGCGCCTGGGTGGCTTAGTCGGTTGGGCATCCGACTTTCGCTCAGGTCATGATCTTGCGGTTCGTGGGTTCGAGCCCCGCATTGGGCTCTGTGCTGACAGCTCAGAGCCTGGAGCCTATTTCAGAGTCTGTATCTCCCTCTCTCTCTGACCCTCCCCTGCTCACGCTGTCTCTCTCTCTCTCTCTCTCTCTCTCTCTCCTAGAAATAAATAAAAATATTTAAAAAAATAAAGTGAATTTTTCTACTATGATACAAAATGTTTTAATTAAATAGAAATTTCTCAGTAATCCCTGTCACTTATACATTATTTAAGTATTATGGGGTGCAATATTTATGTTTAACTCAATTAGTTTTAGTGGCAATATAATTTTCTTCCTTTTATTTTTTTCTACTGTCTGAAATACCTTACTCTAGAATTTCCAATAACATGATTGAAATCAATGCTGTCCAATAGAACTTTCTGTGGCGATGGACATGCTCCACCCAACATATGATTGGGTATGGTAGCCACCCAACATATGATTATTGAGCACTTGACATGTGGCTAGTGTGACTGAGGAACAATCCAGTTTACTTAATTTTATAGGATTTTTATTAATTTAAATATAAAGAGTCATAATCAGCTAAAGGCTACCACACTGAGCCATGCAAATTCAGACAAATATAATATACTTCTCCATAAATCATTTTGAAATTTTCACTGGATATGAGCCAAAAGAAAAAATATATGTGTCTAGATAGTTTTATTTCTTCAACATTACAGATGCAGTTTGAAGGCTTGCCTCTGTTAGTTTTAGAGATCTCTAGTTTGTTAACACTTGTAGGTATATGTTATATAGTCTACATATATGGGTTTGTGTGCTAAAGGAAACATGTTTAAAGTTATATAGATAGTTTAAAGTGTGCTATATGTTTAACAAAAATAATAAGAAAAGCTTGCATTAATGTATGCTTCTTAGAAGTTACAATTCATAGAGATACCAAGAATTAATTTGGAAATAGGTGACTAAAAAGTAAAATATTGTGTGATGTTTTACTCCCTGAGTGTCTGTAAACAAAATGGCTATTGATTTTTTTTTCCCTAGGTATTTGTATTGGATTGACTGCTGTGAGTATCCTCACATCGGCCGTGTTGGAATGGATGGAACCAATCAGAGTGTTGTCATAGAAACCAAGATTTCTAGACCTATGGCACTAACAATAGATTATGTCAACCATAGACTCTACTGGGCTGATGAAAATCATATTGAGTTTAGCAACATGGATGGATCTCATAGACACAAAGGTTGGTCCAGTAGCACAAATGACCCAGTATTTTACCAGTGCATACATTATTCACTTAAAATATATACACATTTATATGTATTCATTATATATAATTTCTGTCATTTAATTTTATAATTTGATTGCATGATTATGTTCCTCTATGACAATATTGGTAAATAAGAATTAGGTATATTTATTCAGAACTTCTGTAATCATGTATAAAAATCATATTGACAGTATTCTCTTCAATTGTATCTTTCTAAGTAGCTTTCATAGTAAATGAACAATATTTTTCTTAGTTAATATATACATGCATCTTGATTGAATTGAGACAGAAGGTTATTTGTTTGTAAATGTAGATTATTATTGCAATCTGGTAAGGGTAGTTGTTTTAAAAATGCCAAGTAAGAGTATAGTTCTCGAAAGACAGTGAAGTAATAGCATTTAAAAGTTATCAATTATACTGCATACATGATCAAATTTATTGTTATCTAATCAACAATGGCCACTAAAGTTAACATGGAAAACAGCTTTCAAATTATAGTAACATTCAGGAAATTATTTAAGTATGAATGAACAAAATTCTACAGATACTTTACTTTTCTATTTTTTATAACTCTGAGTAGATTAAAAAAATTAAATATAAAGAAAATGAATGAAGCAATTCAATATGAGAGAAGTAACACTGGAATTAGAGATGAGGCAGAAGTCTCAGAGAAAAATAGCTGAGGATGAGGGGATTCCTAAGTGCAATGAAGAAGGGCATGATGATGAAGACAAGGTGACAGGGATATAACAGAAACCACAAATGATTTCAATGAACACTCAAAATACTTTAAGTGTTTAAAGATGAGACTTTTCCCAGAATGAAGAAGATAAATGGCTTTTATTGAAGGCTTTTTATTGATCTTTATTGACCTAACATCACCTTTGTTATTAGGTGTTTTATCTTCAAATAGTAAAAGCACAGGTTTCACAGAGAGGTCCCGAAGAAAGCCCACGCATTAGCATGGTTTAGCTTATCAAGGTGCTTTCTTCTTTCTTCCCTAGCAGTAAGCTTAGAACAAAACCCTGGGCAAAGGGAAATAGGGGGAGATGGTAAGAGAGGATTATTGATAATCTTATTGCCAGATGAGGCCGTGCAAGTGTGTGCCAGTATGCATTCCTGAGAAGGATGAAGCCACGGAGTTAAAAAGTACATGAGCAAAAATAAAGGAGATATAAGTCACTGAAGTCACACCACTTAATTGTTTTGCCTATGTCCTTCTCAGTTGATGTTTAAACAAATATATTATTCTATCGTTGCTGACAGCAAGCTTTTAGAGGTGCTTTTATAACGGTAAGAACATTGATATCACAAGTGTAGTTGGATGAGTCACTTATTTAGGTGTTGGCAATCCAATTACAGAGATAAAGAAACTCATCAGGATGCAATTTGAGTGAAGAATTATTTAAGGATGACTTTAGGATTTTAATTACAGCAGAGGTAATGTTGACAAATCAAAATCACACTTAGCGTTCAGCAGTTATATCTTCTCCAAAGAATCAATAATGAAATGTTCTGCAACATTCTTAGATGATATAATTGAAAGTTTTATTGTGGCAATCAGTATTTTCCCCATGTAACTAGGAACTCGTCTATTTTAGCATCTATATAAAACTCTAGGTGGTTGTGAATATATCACTTTCTGCTAAAAATGGGCACTGTACAGTAACATTTAAACAAGTTTTGGTCAGATAAGTGAATACTGAAAATACAAATTTTGGCACCAAAGTTTTGCCTGTTTGCATTGGAGACTTTGTATTTGAACACAAATTGTAGTTAAAGGTGTTATCTATTAGAAACTACTGACTCCACCCCCTATTCAGTATTTAGAAATGATGTCAGATATGTGGGTGACTAATGCTTTGAAAACTTAATACAGAATTAAATGTGTATAAATGAAGTGTCTTTCAATTATGGTACTGTTGGTGACTTTGGGTAGAGGGACATTACAGCAGAGCGAAATAGCACTAAATTTAGTAGAGTAAAATATTTGGCTGAAAGATACCCAGGTATGATATTATTAATATTTTAAAATTTGATTTTGAAAATACTTGGAAGCTCCAGGAGGAGAAAAAGAAAGTAAAAGAGTTGCCATCAGAAGTATTCTCCTGAATGCTTCCTCAGAAAGACTAATGAAAAATTCATTAAGCATCTTATCAGGCATCTGCCAATAACTGAATGTAAGCCAACAATTACCTAGTAGTTACTAATGAGGTACTCATTGTAGGCAGCCTAAATTATGCCAACTCCACAGTCAGTGAAAAAAGAGCCATTCACTTGCCATGTTTGTGAAGGGGAGTAGCGTTTTTCTTCCTCTCGTGCTTTCCTGGTAAAGACATAGAGAGTGCTGTGGTTTCTCGGTTGTGTATTTGGAGGTGGAAAATGAGACTTGACATCAGTGTAACTTCCCCATTAGTTTGGTCACTGATCCCCTTTTTTTTTCTCTTAACCAGACTAGTGCTATTGTTCTCATCTTAGAGAACTCTGCTTAGAAAGTGGGACCAAAGCTTTTCAAGAGTGGGATATGCCAGTCATGACAAAGTAATTTCAGAATATGAGGGATATATAAGAAATTTTAGGATTTTGGCTTCTGTTTGATAAGCCAAATCTTAATAGTGGAGAAAAATTAAACCCTGACAGTTTTTTCTGCTCCAAACATATTCTGATTTAATCATTCAATAATTTCATAAGTGAAACATTAGTTATTACTTGTCTAGCCTACGAAATTCTAAAAATTCAGAATTCTTTGCCCTAAACAATAGATCAGATTACCTCCATGGTACATGTGACTTACAGTTTGCTTAAGAATTTCTATCCATCTTTCTCTATTATCTCCTCTACCCCAACCCACCTTCCTACCTAGTCTGTATACCACATTGCAAAATTAAACAAACAAATAAGCAGTCAGTTTGCCGGATTGGGCACATCTAGATGCGATCTTAGCCTTATGAACCTCTTCCTAATGCCGCTGAATATCATTTTTTTTGGTTTTTACTATAATAATTATATAATGATATGGTTTAATAAAATGATGCCATAGAATATATATGTTACTGGATGACTGAGTCAGACAGTTTATGTTAAATCCAATTTTCGTTAGTTCTTTTTTTTTTAGTTTCTTGATTTCTTTCCTTTAGATCTGCCCATTCATTCATTCATTCATTCATGTATTCATTCAACAAGTGCTGATGTCTCTTTCTATACCATGCCGTATGCTAGACCCTCAAGTTACAAAGATGAATAAATTTGTGTTTTTACAATACCTATAGTAATAGAAAAGCTGATATGCAAGCAAAAACATAAATTAGATTGGGATTAGAAGAATCTCAAATATTTTGAAAATGCATGGCGTAGTAGGAGAGCTCTTGCTGAAGTAGGGAATCTTTGAGAAATGTTAGAGATTGGATCAATTTCTCCATATGGGGAAATGTATAAAGGATTCTTCACGCAGAGGGAACAGCACGTGCAAAGATGTAATAGAATCTTGAAGCAGCATGGGGTTTATACAACTTGGCTAGGACTAGAAGTTGTATAAGAGGGAGATAATGTCACTAGATGAACATGAGCAAATATGGGCCAGATTGTGACAGGCCTTGTAAACTTAGTAATTTGGAATTTATTCCCTAGGTCATAGGGAGCCATTGATGGTGTTTAGTTGAAAGAGTGTTGTCATTAGACTTGACAACAGCATGGAAAATGAAAGACCCTAGAAAGGCAACCAATTTAAAGGCTGTTAAAATATTTTAGAAGAAAATATTTGAAGTGATTATAGCTGTGGGAATGGGGATAAAGTTTTATGTTCAAAAGTTAATTGGATTAAAAAAATGGGAGAGATGCATCTGTAAGCCTAAAATAGTAAAAATATTGGTGGTCAAGGTACAGATATTAAGTGAACATTTTATATTAGCATGCACTTACCTAGGGAAAACAACCTTCTAATTTGATGACTTATTAGTATCACATATAATAGTATATCTTACAGGGAATTTATTAAGTACCAAACTAAGCATAACTCAGAGATTTTTTTTTTTGAAAAATTCTGTTTTGATGAGAAGTAGATTAACTTTAACAAAAGGGGCGGGGCGCCTGGGTGGCTTAGTTGGTTAAGCGTCAGACTTTCGCTTAGGTCATGATCTCTCGGTTTGTGGGTTCGAGCCCCGCGTCGGGCTCTGTGCTGACTGCCAGCTCAGAGCCTGGAGCCTGTTTCAGTCTGTGACTCCCTCTCTCTCTGACCCTCCCCTGCTCACACTGTCTCTCTCTCTCTCCTAGAAATAAATAAAACATTTAAAAAAAAAAAAAAACTTTAACAAAAGGGTCAGCATAAGAGGAATTCTAAGGATGTGATTAAACAAGCTTTAATGCATTTTTCCCTGAAAAGCATTTCAGAACACCTGATAATTTATCTGGAAGAAAGATCGGAAGTGAATGACTCTTTCTCCTCTTACTTTTGTTTGAAATATAAAATATGTCCAGTGAAAGATTAGGCAATTTTAGAATATTCTTTTATGTTGAATTGCTTAGTTTTAAAATGTATAAGTGTCTTATACAAAAATAAAATATTCTAAATATATAAATAATAATATTCTAGTAGGTATTTGTGTTCAGGACTGATTCCTACCAGCCTCAAAGTGCAACAGGGCTTTGATTTTGGATGAGAAGTAATAAACCTTTGAGACACCTGGGTGGCTTAGTCTTTTAAGCATCTGACTTTGGCTCAGGTCATGATCTTGCGGTTTGTGGGTTCAAGCCCTGCGTCAGCAGCTGTGTGAGCAGAGAGCCTGGAGCCTGCTTCAGATTCTGTGTCTACTTCTCTCTCTACCCCTCCCTTACTCATGCCTTGTCTCTCAAAAATAAATAAAATGTTAAAAAAATTAAAAAATGTACACCCTGCTTTAGTGAGACGTTTAGTGGGACATTATACTATAGTCTCTTACTTCCACACTTATTGTATCTCCTGCCTATACTTTTAGATC